TCCAGCAAAGCCTTGTCTTTCTCAAAAGGTGTTAAAATAAATGTACTCTTCAACTTCAAACTTGCTGTTAACAGATCTGCAACTTTCCTCCAGTCTAGAATGTGAGCTGAAACTTTAACTATCAGTTTACTTTCTCAATCTCCTCTCTGTATGTTTACTCCCATTCTGTATTTACCTGCCCCAGCTGTCACTATAAGAGTCTTGCTTATTATTGCTCACTGAACTAGTAGAACTGCTTATCTTCCTTTTTACTGTTACTTCTCTTTTAGCACCCAAACGTTGCAGCAGTTCACATAAGACCCCATGAACTGCCTTCCAGCCCTGACTCTTCCTTCCCTCTGGGAAACAGACCATCTGCTTCCTACCCTTGCCAAAAAATTCTGTCAAAGAAATAAAAGAACCTTTAAAGTTTCTCTTACACTCTACAACAAACCTTCTTCCAGTTTCTGAGAGAAACTCTTTCCAGCTATTTTGTTTGCCTTTGTTACTTGCACCTTCCACAAACTCCTTGAACCCTTCAATTACCCCCAAACCTTCTAACAGTACCATCCCTCTCTTTGCTTCCCTGATTTTCAAGCTCAGCTGACCATTTAATCTCAGTTCCTCAAATAGAAGCTCCTTAGCTTCAATCTTCAAAGCTTTTTTCCAATGGCCCATCTTCACAAACTCTCCCATCTTCAAAGCTTTCTTCTCAATCTTCTCAGCCAATCTTACTAACAGCAAAACCATCTCAGGTACAGAGACATTTTTTTTTCGGACACAGTCATTTGTCTTTTGATATTATGAACAGAACAATCTAAAGGATACCCGCTTCTCCAGATGCCGGAGCATAGCTGCATCATGACAACTGCATACTCACAAAGCCACATGCGATGCTCGACGAGATACCGAACCGTTTCTCGAACACCTGAAGAAATGAGATTCGAAGTGAAACCTAGGAACACTTTGCACCTCACAGACTCTCTATAGTCAAGGTCCTTTTCCTCCTCACTAAAATCTTCACCCAGAACCTCGTCAGCGAGCCTCCAATCTAGCTTCCCTTTGAAAGATGCTTTCACAAACATTTTCTATCTCCTACAAAAACAAAACTATCCCCCATTGTGTTTGCTTTCCCTTACTATGTTTAATGATCACCATCTACCAGTTCTGTAACTTATGGATCCTCGGTGTTGGACTTAGATCTATGAAGATTCATATTCTGAATCAGGAAAATCTTTTTACCTGAAATGAACAGTGAGTTTTTGAAATCAAATGCCATAGTTCCTGTTTATACTTTTTGGGTATTGATTTTTAATGCATGTTGACTGCTAACTGATTCTGAGTATCCTAAATGTAGGTTTTGAGCCGAAAGTTGTATCTCCCTGCCAAGATGTCATCTGAGCCAAAGTAAGCTCACATATTTTATCCTCATGCTTGATTGACAAATGCAACCTGTATTTTCTTTGATTTTATATGTCAAATTTGTCTGAATTTCTTTTTCCTCATGGTTTAGTAAATTATGATACATGTTCACCAAGGGTGACCTCTTCCCAGGCAACCAAAATTACAGGGTAGGAGGTGCCTTCTTGTAATATTGTTACTATGGGTGCATCTTATTAGTATGTTTTTGATACTTCCTAATAGAAATTACATACGGTAACTTGTTTTAGGGATTTACTGTTGGAATAAAAAAAGATTCAAGGGCTTTGATGATAAAAAGATAAAAGAAGAGAGCCCGTGTTTTGTTATTCTTTTCTTCTTGTAATTATTCTCTCTCTCTCTCTCTCTCTCTCTCGTCTTCTATTACTATAAAACTATAGCATTCTTTAGTTGTTAATAGTTTTCTTGACATGCAACTGGCCAACTGCCCTAATATATATATATGTTTTTTTTTTTTTTTTTTTTCTTTTGAAGTTTTATTGCCTAGACAACTTGGCATTCTGCAATCATTGACAAGCCTTTCACATTATTGCAGGGATGATAATCTTCCTCTTATTGTTGCTATTGATTTGCAGCCCATGGCTCCAATTGAAGGTGTCATTCAAGTGCAGGGTGACATTACAAATGCACGGACAGCCGAAGTGGTAAAAACTATTTCTTTATGCATTTCTTATCCTTATTCTGATTGAAAATAAATACACTTTGCTTGGATGATATTTTATCTGATACATGATGATAACTTTTCTGTCTCAGTGGCTTAATAAGTTAGACCCTTGTTTCTTATGAGGATTTAATAGTTACTCTTCTAATTCTCAATGGTAAAAAATTGTAGTGAATTGGATTAAGTCCTACCTTTTGCACATGAACCTCCTCCAATGAAAAAAGGAGAAAACACTATTGGATAGATCAAAAAAGAAATCTTTTGTCTTGAAAATGTCTTGAGGCTATTGGATAGCAGTCTATATGATTGGATTTAATTGTTTTACTGAATAATGGACTGACAAATGAGATATGTTACAAGTAGTTTCTTATGGTGCATGAGTGCGTTTTCACAATTTCCACATTTTCTTTTGCTTATTAGCTCGCTTGTCTATTATGATTTATGATACCATCATATTGATCATAGTGACTTTGACAATGGTTCAATCCAAATTTTCAAGGTTGACAGCCCAGTTTCTTCCCTTAGCGTTGCTATATTCTATTAAGCATGTATCTTGCCCTTCATGACCTGCTCTTATCCTCAATTTTTTTATGACGTTGCTCCTTAAAAAATTTCTTTTAGTTTAATATGCATTTCATCTTTAACTTGAATTTATTGGTAATTGTGAGATACTTCTATCTCTAAAACATGCGTTGTTTCTTTCAGGTAATCAGACACTTTGATGGATGCAAAGCAGATCTGGTTGTCTGTGATGGTGCTCCTGATGGTTAGAAAAAGACATGTTCTAATTATATCTATGGCTTTTTGTTGATGATCTTTTGGGCTCACTTGTCAACTTGCTGGTTGCAGTTACTGGACTTCATGACATGGATGAATTTGTTCAGTCACAGCTCATACTAGCGGTTAGTGTTAATGTTCCTGTTACACTAGGAAACTTTTATATGGAAAATTATAGTTGTAAATGTTATAATACATCCTTGCATCTACAGATGGAAAATAAAATAAATCTAGCAATATTTTTAAGTGGAACCATTCTGATAAAAAAATGTGAGTGGAACCATCAATCTGGTCAGTCTCACTAAGTAAATCTTTAATTGCAACCTTCTGATTTTGGTATAACTTGATCAGGTTGAGCTGGTCTTGACCATAGTTAGCAAGTCAGGGAATTGGTTTCATACAATACTGGAGTAACTGGCATTAATAGCTTCATTTTTTTATATGTTGGAACAGTGATTTAAAAGGTGCGCCTAGGCGCACAGGCGAGGCGCATTTTAGGGTATGCACCTTGCCTAGGTCCTAGGCTCAGCCCTTTGTGCCTTGCGCCTCAGCCCAGGCGTGTGCCTTTTGAAAATTTGGCGCTTTTTTGCTTTTTTTGAATACAACGGCTGGGCCAGGGGCTCCACCCCCGTGCCACGCCCCTTGAGGCAAAGCCCAAACAAGTCCATGTTAGGTCTTAAATTCTTAGTTTTCACACAAAAAATAATGGTTTTATAGTTTCAATTGCTTTTTAAGAAGTCATTTTATTAGGATGAATCAATGAGCAACATTACCAAATTGGGGGTTCTCGGAGCTTCGGTGAGCGAGCTAATTGAAGACATTTTATTTGGTAATGTTGCTCATTCATTCATCCTAATAAAATGTCTTCTTAAAAAGCAATTAAAACTATAAAATCATTATTTTTTTTTTGTGTGAAAATTAAGAATTTAAGACCTAACATGGACTTGTTTGGGCTTGCCTTGAGGGGCGTGGCACAAAGACGGCTCGTAGAATCAGGAATGTTATATGTTTTACATTACATTAGCTACTTGAAGTAATACAATTGAGTGAAAAAAGAGATTAGAGCTTTTACATGCTTGAAAATGTTTTATATGCTTGATTTTATTTTTAAATTCTCATTTGAATATGCTTTACATCTTATGTTTATGTATTTTAATTTTAGATAATAGGTTTTTTAAAACATTTATTTTAAAATTTAAGTTTATATTTTTTATTAATATTATGTTTAACATTTTTTGATTTTTTTGAAATTTCTGACATTGTTTTGATTTTTTAGCATTTTTTGTATTTTTGCACCTTGCTTCAAAAAGGCGCGCGCCTCAGGCGCAAATTGACCCCTGTGCCTTTTTTGCGCCTTGTGCTTTTAAAACACTGTGACTGTGTTGGAATGTGTTATTATTTATCATTTCTCATTATGTGCTCGTATGCTTTTCATTATTTTCTACACATCCCTTGCACATTGGGTGGGATAGTAGGGGTAACCCAGGTGTAGGGGCTTAAGACATCCTATCACCAAGTGATGATGTCTATATGAATCTTGTTGAATTGTATTATTTTCATATCGGAAGTGATATGATTGTGGGAAACTTACTTGCAGGGTTTGACCATTGTTACTCACGTACTTAGAGAGGGTGGAAAATTTATTGCAAAAATATTTCGAGGTAAAGATACAAGTCTCCTATACTGTCAGGTATGTCACACTGTTCACACAAAAGTAGAAACAACTTTGTTTTTGGGTTTCAACATCTTGAAACTCAGCCTTTTTTTCCAACAGCATGAAGGTTGAAATTTGATTATTGACTAAAAAATTTGTATTATTCCAGAATCCTCTCTGTACTGTACAACTAGCACCCTCTCCTAAACAATTGAAGTCACTTATGAACACCTACACTTTATAACCTGAAGAACCAAAATCTTTGGGTTTCTTATTTTCTCAACTAATGTGATCCAAAAATTAAATTAAATAGGGATTGCCCACTTAGGCCGTTTGATGCAATCAGATGGGTTATATTCTCAAGTCAGAATTAATTAGGGCTGTCCAAAGCATCCTTAGGACTAACTGGCAAGTTTTAGAAGCATTCTCCTGCCTTCATAGATCATTAAATTGATTCTAGGAAGACTGCCTCTCTTTCTTTGTGCCATTAATGTGTCATCTAGACAGGCTATTTGCGTTTTACAACTTTTCAGAGTTTTTTCCTGATATTCCTGGTGTTTCTTAAATTTTTCAATCCGATTTTTTTTTAATTTCTTTATAGTCCTAATTATTGATGTCATGGGCCATAGTTTAACCCATAACCTAATATACTTGATACTTAATGTACAATCTCTTTCATCTTGATATATTTCAGTGTTAGTGTATTACTGCTTAACACCAACTTCTGGACATAGATATTTATTTTATTTTTCTCATCTCTTGATTATCTTAATGAACAAATTAAATCTTCATCTTGTGGCAATCATTTAGGGTATGTTCTCCCTTTGGTGATATTGTTGGTTGATCTTGTTGATCCATTAAAATAAAAGAAAGGCAAAACATCTTCCCTTTGATATCGTGGGCTTTGAAGCTTTGCAGTTCAAGGGGTTATATCTTTACTACTTGGAGGGATGACATACAGAATTAGACCATCAGTCTGATGGAGATTCTTTGGTTGGATCATACATTTAGTGTCCTTTTCATGTTAGCCTTACACCTTTTATGAATAATAGCCCTCGACTCTTTTAGACGTAGAAAGGAATGGCTAATTTTTTCACATGGAAGAAAAGATTGATGTGGCAGAAAAAAATAGACCTTTTTCAGTTTTGTGCCCAGCTGCCACATGTAAAATTTTGTAATGATTGGTTTTCAAGCATGTTTAGTCCATACATAATACCTATATTGCAAAGAAATTATGTGAAAATCTGAGCACTGCTCTTAACCAAGCCCATGTAGTTTTAGCCTTTTAGGCTTGTTTGTTTTTCATTAGTATATAACAAAATATACCTTTCTCCAGGAGAACTTTCTGATGATGGGGTTCTTTGGTGTTTTCTCTCTCTTGCAGCTGAAATTATTTTTCTCTGTTGTGACTTTTGCAAAACCAAAAAGTAGCCGTAATTCCAGTATAGGTGAGAGTAATAGTTTTCTTTGTTGGCTTAGTTGCTTTTTAGTTCTCTGTCTAATCTCCATAAGATTGTTACTCAATGTTTAAAAAAACTTAGCTTTACTTGGAAATTGGTCTTCAAATGTCTGACTCACCTGAGCTGACAATGAGTCAAGGGATTAAAAATTATTGGGCAAATTTTTCAAAAAGTGAAAATACATAACGCCATGGTGGTTGAATCTACATCTTGTTTGATAATATTTTTTGAAATAGTAGTTTAGCAATTTTTTTTTTTTGAAATAGTACTAAGAAATCCAACTAAAAAGAATCTTTCAATTATTTGGATTCTTGTGCTTGTGATAACAGAGGCATTCGCAGTTTGTGAGAATTATTCCCCTCCTGAAGGATTTAATCAGAAAGATTTACATCGCCTCCTGGAAAAGGTGGGCAGTCCTTCCGGACAAGAAGACTTGGGTAAGTTTAATTTTGCCTGGTTTACCTTTTAAACTTCTGTGTTCTAAAGTTAGCTAGTCTCATAGTTGACTTCTTGAAAGAATTCTCTGAGCATAAAACCAACCCTGAATTTTTCTAAGACAGTTTACTGGGAATTACAAAACACAATGAACATCTCCTAGCCTTTTACGCATAGTGTTCAAGTCCTTTCTGTAGATTTTAGATTGAAAAAGCTAATTAAGTATTAGAACTTTAACTTAATGGCAATTAATGGTCTGTCTTTATGCATCCTATAAATTGTAATATTTCATTCATCCTCTTTTGTTCATTTATTAAACTTGTGCATAAATTTTTAATTGTACTTGTAAATTATTGGGATGATAAGGTGGTTAAAGAAAGACTTGATTACCTACTGGCTCAACTTTCCTGCATCTGTTGCCAAGCGTGCTGCTGAGGCTGGGAAGGCAGCTTCTTCCAAGTTCCAAGGGCAATTTTGTTCAAGTTCTCCTTGTATTGGGGGGGGGGCTTAAACTATTTTTTTGATAATTGTTTTTCCTTAAACTATTCAAGATTAATGAATATTAAAACCAAGTGAACTCCTTGATTTGGTCCTGACTCCTGAGTTCTCTACTAAATTGCAGTGTCAAACTTATATTGTAATTGGCTGATAAAAAATTAAAAAAAAAACTTCTCTTGTAATTGGCCCTTTTTTGCTGTTTGGAAAAACTTTCCTGTGAGTATCAACTTTATTATTATTATTTTTTTGTGAGCAGATTGTAGTAGTGGATGGTTGGAAGGACCAAATAAGGTGTATATTCCTTTTTTGGCTTGTGGGGACCTTAGTGGGTATGATTCAGATCGCTCATACCCCCTTAGTGGAACTTACCAGAGTTTGGATCCAGTTCAACCACCAATTGCTCCCCCTTATAAAAGAGCTCTTGAGATGAAAAAGGCTTCAAGTCACGGGATCCGGGAGTCAGAAAAGCTATCCCTAGAAGGCTAGAATCTTGATCTTCTATACTTCTTCATTGAAACCCCTGCTTCAACTAATGAAAAGGATTTTGGTATAATTGAACTTCAGGTAATGAAAAGAATATTGTTTTTTCACGTCAGTCTGGGCCATGTTCAGTCTTGTTTATGCATTTTGTTAGCATTTGGATGCCAGTATCACATGAAATGGAAGTTTTTCACGACATTCATCAATAAAGAAAAATTCGTGACATCTGAAACCATTCTTGGCTAAAGCAGGGTTAGTTTAAGGAGTCTTTGGACTGATTGGTGGATAATGAATGGAGGTAAATTTGCTGCAGCAGATGAGCTGGTGAAAGAGCATCAAATAAAGATGGGGCTTTAGTTTGGACCCCAAGAATTACTAATGAAATTAAGAAATCTTGGAGGGCAACTGGAGGTGGCTGATAGCAAGCTTGTCCATCAAATGCAGTGAAAAACCATAAAGAAATCATTTCATTTCATGTGGCATCATCCAAACATGCTGTGATTGAAGTTGGGCACGCATTGTAGCCATTGTTGTTACTCCCGCTTCACTTTGACCTACCACTATATAAAAGGTGAAAATAGATAATACGTGTTTGTCTCGAAGATAATACATGAAATTCTTCCCATGTACAAAAAAGGAAAAAAAAGCTCTTGAATCGATAATGCAGTCAGCCACTCACTACATGGACAAATTTGGGCTGAGCCCCACCTTATCTATGGCGCTGAATTAACGGACTGACACCCTTTGTGACCACTTGCCATCTGTCATGGTCAATTTTAGCTGATCTCAGGATGTCTCCGGTCTCCAGATCCTACTCAAATTTACATGCCAAAACCCGAGAAAGTGTAAAGATAAGGCACCATTCTATCGTGAGTTGTGACTACTCTATTGTCCTGCCCCAGTGTCACGGTCTGTGTTTACGCTTGGTGGGCTTAGACACCACCGTTGTTTTTGCTTGTAAGATTTTTGGGAAAAGTGATATTATCTTCAGGCAAACCATCAAAAGTTTATCGTACTCTTTGAGTGCCTAACTTTGGTATTCCTAAACCATCATCTCTTGTAGGGCAGTCCTGGTTAATGGTTAGTATGGTTATCAGGGTTTTTTATGGGCGCACATATGTTCATGGGGACAGTGCATGGACTGGTACTGCATTGTCAACACTTAAGGGAGGTTTGGCATGTGTGCCTGGTTCAAGCATGACCCTTTACCACGCCAGCCCCTTGTCCAAACTGAGTGAGCTACCCCGTTGCCCATAGCGTATGGGTGTGTTCCGGCCCAGCGATTGCCTTTCATCATAGCTTATAGGTGCCCACATCATCGCATACAAGAGACTCATCACATCGGCACTCAGTCACTTCACATCATGGCCTTTCCCCTTTAGCACGTAAGCAACGCCTCCCATGGACCGGCCAAAGCCAGTTGAATTCCCCGGTCACGCGACTTGAGGTCATGATCTAGTGCTATTAACCTTAGTGGAGCCATCTCATCGAACAACTCCTAACCTCCAAGCACACATAAGACTTGTCTTGGCCTACCTTGGCCTGGACACCACATGGGTTTCTTCTGCTACAGAACTACCCCTATGACACCGGAGCAGGCACAATAGTAGCTGTCTCGTGGAAGAAATGATTCTTGCTGGGCGGACATAGGTCGCCCTCCGTCCCTCACCATAATACTACTCGGCGGAAGCGTTAAATGGAATGCTGGAGAACCGACCATGAAAGTAGCTTAGATGAGCTGAGCTGAGAGAACTGGAAGATGGTGGTGATGTAGGACCACCCGTAAATAAAAAATTTGTGGGTGTTAGATGAGGTGTACAGTGGTGGGGGAACGAATGTAGACGTACGTACCACATGATGTGAGTGGGGCTGGAGCCTGGAGGTACATCATCCTTCATGGCCCCACTCTCCATGATCTGTACAATCAATGGGCCATCATGGATGTATAGTTGTCTTAAGAGCTTTAGGTGGAGTCGTGCTTGGCAGCTTGGGCAGTGGTTTATCTCTGTTTGCAAAACCGTTTGAAAACACGTTTTCATGCCCATTTACCTTTATTTATTTAGTTGGAGAGTTGGGGTAAGTTGGTCAGTAGCAAGTTTTCTATAATACATTAACAATTTAACGGCAAGTAAGCGCTTTCTCCCTCCCACTCCCACCCACCACCTTCTTTAGAATTTTATTATTTATTGGGACAAATTTTACTTAAAAAACACTTGTTCAAGGAAACGTACTTACACAGTTAAGTAAAACTAATGGCCCAAGTATTACTAGTTCCACATTTCAATTTTACAAGCAAAATAAATGATAAAACAACGTCAGGATGCAGGAAGAGGGGTGGGGGAAATGGTTTATTCACTGGTGTTTGAAAAGTTGTTGTCATCAATCTTAAATAAATGATATAAAGAAAACATTAATTATTTTTAATAGCTCATAATCTCTTAACTAAGATAAGATTATTCTATTCCTCCCATGAAGTACATCCTTTGTCATGGATTTACCAGCAACAAGAAAAGAAGATTAATCTTTATAAGACAAAAAAAATGTGTAATTTTAGCTTAGTTGTATTTGATTGTAGGTATGCTACCAAAATATCTGAGACACTCCCAATCATTGATGGTTTAATAATGATGATAACACATTAATACAAATGCAAGCATGCTCTTCTCTTTAATTATATTTCCATTTCAAGTTGGAAATATTGAGATGGGGAAGTCACAGAAGAAAAGATTAGGGCATTAGGCCATGGATGAAAGTTGTTGAATAATGTTGATTCATGTATACTGTTGGCCAAGAATGAAGGTCTCCCCATCCTGTTTGGAGGTGGACTGTAACAAAATGCAGTTGTCATTGCTTTGTAGAGCACGGAGCTACTATAGATTTCGTGCTTACCTTGAAAGAAGGTTTAAGCATTTCGTGATGCAGACTCTCAGAAACAGACCCCATTAAATCTTGCTGAATATTTCCATCCTCTCAAGGATGAAAGCAGCTTCTCTCTCTCTCTCTCCAGGGTTGCTTTTCTGGGTTGGTTTTACCTGCTCTTGAATTCTAGATTGGATTATGGATGTTAGTTTTGGGATACTAATTAAAAAAAAAAAAAGAAAAACTCATAAAAATGAAGAAGCAGTGCCTGTTATTGTTAAGTACCACCACCATCATCATCATAATATATAACATAATTAATTTGTTTTCTTTCTTCTTTGTTCTGTTCTTCCATTTACATGTTTTCCATACTTAGCCACAAAATCTAACAAGAATTCGTCGAGACGGAATTGGACCTCTGAAAACAAGCAGTAGAATTGATGAATTCGATGCAATCTTCTATAGCCTCCGTCCGATGAGAATCAAGCGGTGCAACGAACGGCCTCGATCTTGAGTTGGACGAGGAAACCTTTGAGGAAGATCTCCTCCTCCTCGTCGATACCATACGTAGAGCTGTTGCCACCTTAGACCCAAGACGCCGAAGAAACCTCACCGGCGAGAATCCTGAGCTCTTGGGTAATCGGAAGCTATAGGCTCCGGCATTCCTCTTGTTTCCGGTAACTCTTGTACTTCTGCTGTGCTTTAACGAGACCGTTGGCCTGTCGTTGATATCTGGACTAAAATATGCTAGTCTACTTGTTTTTCTAGACATCTCCGGACCTAAAGATTATAGTGCAGAAAGAGAAAGAGAGACAGAGAGATGGGGGTGGAGTGGAGAGGGAGAGAGACTGTGAAGTGAAGTAATGCTGGCGGAAGGAGGGGGGCAGTTAGTGGGGCTGGGTGGTGTATTTATTGATGGAAAAAGAAAAAGAAAAGAAAAGAAAAAGAGAAAAGGAAAAGAGGGAAAGAAGTTGGGGTTAGGCCGAGGTTGGTCTTCAGCCTTCTTATGGGAAATGGTTTCTTGTATGATTCGACAAGGTAGACTGAAGACCAAGGCAGCGTCTGGCTCAGCCTTCTTATGGTAAATAGTTTATTTCATGTGCCCCATCCCCATCGATCGTAACACTAACACACAGTTCTCTTAATATGCATGGTTTGTAACTTTATATGATGCATGCCATGAATCATTCACACCGTTGCAGATTATAAAAAGGCTGATGTGTATGAAGTTTGAAGTTGGGTTTTTTTCCTTTTATCTGTTTTCTAGGTGGAGTAATCGAGAGAATGAGAAATCTATAGATTATGAGATCAAATTGATTTAGAAGAAAGTGAATTGTCTCACAGAGTCGCAGTCACTAATCACACCCAAACAATGATGATGAAAGGTGAATTATTATTAATACAGACAGGGTCAATGTCAATGCATGTGGCACTCACAACCTGATATATGGTTGGGACTTGGGACTTGGGTGTGAAGATGTCTAGTCAAAAGATGGAGAATGAATTGATATCCCCTGTTAAGTGTCCGAGACAAGATGATGGAAAGAAAAAGGGAGAGGTGGTGTGGTGGCTGTGAACAGTAACAAGTATTTAAAGGGGTGGGGACTCGGGATGGATGGATAGTCGGGGTTGGGTGAATGTTTATGTCAATCTCTCTAAGGTTTTGGTAATTAGAAGTGCTTGGTCCGAGAAAGGGTGGTCTGGTGGAGGTGGAGCCGTTGAAATTTTGAAAAAGATGACTGACTGACGGGATAAAGGGGGAATGATGGAGGAATAGTGAGGAGTGCTAAGGACAACAATACTGTCACCCTCTCCATCAGCGTTTCTTTTTAGGTGCCGTGCAGGCCTACTCTTACCTGCTTTGCTTTTCAGGCTCCTCTCTCCTCTCTCCTCTCTCTTGATTCTGTTGAGATTCCAGATATATGGCCCCTCTCAACAAATTAAAAGTGGGGCTGTGGGGGAGAGAATGAAAGAAAATCCAAGAGAGAGATATAGATATATATAGTTTGTACATTGTGGGATTGGCGGGAAATAAATCAATATTACCCTCTCTATTCTTTTCTTAACTTGTAATGGCAAAATTTCTGAGAAACAACAAAGAAATGTCCAAAGTAAGTAAACAAATTGAAGTTAAGAGTTGTAAATTATTGCATCTTGAGAACAACTTACCAAGAACAGGCCATAGTCGATGGGGAATTGCAAAAAGGAAGAAAAAGGTAAAAATGACAGAGACATTCATACTTCATAATAACTTTTTGACCAAGATGCCTTGGTCAGGAAGCTCAATTTTGGATTGAAATTGAACAACCCGAGACCTTGTGGGTTCAACTTTAAACTGGATCTCCATTCTCTGTTCCTTCACTGCTATTATTCAACTGCAGTAGATTTTCCTCATTGAAAATCAAGACAAAAAGATTGTTGCAGTCATTATGTGATGTCCACCGGAATCAGTAGAAACTTGTGGCCTGTGGGGAAGAATTGGCTTGTTTGGACCGCAGAACTGTGCTGTCTATTTTTGGCTTCTCTCGTTGATAGTGGTCAAAACAAAAGCTTTAGAAATTTGGGACTGGGGGACCTTTTGCTTTGGTAAGTGTTTGGCATCGGTGCTGGGAACATCGCCTTGGTTAACGAACAAACAATGACACACAGTCACACCCACGGTTTGAAGTTTGAACTTTCCGGGTTGGGTTATTCTTATGCCCATACCCACAAGTCCATAACCATCTATATGCATTAGGTCGGGTACTC